ACCAACAGGTCGCGAGTTCGAGACTCGGGTGTTCCACACTTCGGGCTTGTGTATGGCTGGCTGACGACGGCTAATAAGCCAGAAATGGCCATTCCAGTCTTCCTTGTCTTTGTCGCTAATACTATTCTGCCTATAAATATTTATATATGGCCAACGTAAAAAACAGTTCACAACAATAGACAAAATAGCACCTTTATTGTCGTATTCTGCGAGGTGCTCTATTTATGATATAAACGTCCCCGAGCTCTCCTAACTCCAGCATTTTAATGGTCCATGATGAGGGAGAGTGCTAGAGATGTGGAGGACTCTCATTTGCGCCTACGGGGTTGATAGAGAAGGTCGGGCCAAATGTCAACCGTCTACAAAGTTGTCACGTTTCCTATGCTAGAGAACGTTTCTTCCCGTAGAATTGCGTATGCGATCAGCGATAACTAGGGTATTTGCGTCGAGGAATCACATCCTCTTTACGGTCATACATAAATGTATGAAACAAAGAACATAACATCTGTTATCGCTATTTTCGGAATATTACTGCAATTAACGAACCAACAGTGTGAACTCCTGCTCATCATAAACTATCGGTACGCTTAGAACCTAGTATGTCGAAATTTATGCTCTAACAAGTACAGACAACATTACTAGTGAGCTAATTGCAACTTACTTCGTCTCGAAAATACTCCACGAGTTGTGTCCGTCACATCAATAGAGGGCTAGGAAATTATCATATAACGAAACTTTTACAAAAGTTTCGCTTTTTGCTGCCAGAAAAGAGCAAAACACGGGAACAAGAGCCCCCCGCATCCTAGAGGCCTTGCGCTAATTTCCATAGAGAGTAGGCTCAGTGTCAAGGGTAGGGGCAGCGTTAAGCTTAGTTTTAGGATCAAGGTTAGGGTTAAGTCAAGGATATGCGCCCTTCTCGGGATGTTTTCAAGGTCACTTCTGATACAATGGGGTCATATTCCCGTGTCCCAGCCGGCAATGGTTAGACATGCTTTCTTGGTGACATCAGTGCCATTAACTATAGAATGCCTTCTGAGTAGTAGGTATAGAAAAAGCAAATCATCAAACACAGGCCACACGTCAAAGACACTTTATATGCAAATCCCTCATATATCCAGATCATCAGCTAGAGAGCAAGTTTCGTCTTCTAGCGCATATGAAATTACCCCTGCTTTTCCAACTCATAGGCCTCTTATAATTGTGATTCAGGATATTAAAGGTACCCTTGTGAATTTCAAAAACTACGATTCACGTGCCCAGGGCTGACACAGAGTGCGTACTCTGTGCACAAATTCCGCGTAGGCGGTTAGGGAGCTTACATCGCCCAGCCTGGTGTGCTCTTCTATTGCAATGTGAGCACTTCTGACGTAGGTTAGCACGCGAGAAACGCGTCAGTCAGTTTATTGATCCTAAGCCTACAGGTTTACTGGATCTCTTTTTTACAGGATTTTGACAAAGGAAACGATACTTTTAATTTGCCTCAACATCATTCTAAAATATTGACGATCGCGTTGATGCACTAGCACAGGTACCCTCAATCCAGCTAACAACCTGAACGATCTCTGTCAGCACTGTTTAGTCCAGGCTGATTCTTTCAGTAGAATAATTTAAAACATCAAGTTTTATGGGTACAGCGATGGCGTTTCTGGCCTGCCAATGGATGACTATAGGTACAGTAGGGGACTAATTAATGAAATGTCAACCGAAATTCCGAATTGCGTTCTCGTTTCAAAAAGATTAATTAAGTATGGTTGTAAAACTAATAATCATATAGCATAATTATATAATGCTCCAGTTACCTCAGTGTCGGCTTTCGAACGAACTTACTTCCGACTGCATGCAAGAACTATACTCTGCACCAAATGACTACTTAAGTAGCATGCACTTTTCTCATTGATTTTCGATGCTCTTGAAAATTTAACTATGTTTCATGGAAAACATGCATACAAATATTCATTCTTTTACTTATTCGGTAGAAGATCACGTCTCCTATCAATCTTATACTCGAAAGAATGGTATAATTCGGTTTTAAAGAACTTTTCTAATTCCCGAATAATTTTGAACCCGACCTGCTTTTATACTTTCATTCAGGGTTTCCGAACTACAAGTCGCATATTTTCCGTGTACGGAAAACCATGCATTTCTCTACGGTATTAAGAGGAGACCGTATAGGGTTCGTAAAATTAAGCAGGGGATTTGAGCAATAATGCTTACTTTACAAACCACATTCGTGAATGCAGATACATGACGTTATATGAACACCCAATTCACGGTATTAAAAAATCTCATAACTAGAAACTTTTTTGAAACAGAATTATACCCTTTTTTCAAGTACAAAGTTGAAAGGAGACGTGATTTCCTACCGAATAAGTAAAGGAATGAATATTTGTATGCATGTTTTCCATGAAATATAGTTGAATTTTCAAGAGCATCGAAAATCAATGAGAAAAGTGCATGCTACTTAAGTAGTCATTTTTTGCAGAGTATAGTTCTTGCATGCAGTCGGAAATAAGTTCATTCGAAAGCCGACACCCTGAGGTAACTGGATCATTATAGAATTATGCTGTATGCTGATTAGTCTTAAACCCTACTTAATCAATCTTTTCAAAACGAGAACGCATTTCGAAATTTCGGTTGACATTTCATGAGTTAGCCCACCTACTGTAATTCTCAAATCCCAAGAGTTGAACCATCCGAAATTTGGGCAGAACTCCAACCAGAATAAGCGCTGTGCTTGCTGCTCTATGATAAAACGTAAATGTAAATTTCGCCGAGGAAATGTGAATAGACTAAGTAGCGCTCATCTCGTGAAGGTTTGTGAGGTTGCTTTCATCCAGACTACTTTTGAAGTTAATCTCAAGCGATGACATTTGACTGAAGTAAAAAGAGGTTGACTCTGACTTGCTATTATTGAGCCCGGTAGTATGGGTGGCCTCAATAAATTCGACAGGAGTTAGTATTGTGGGGGCTGATGCTGGGGTTGGGGTTAGAAGCATTAGGATTATGAGGGTTATGGTTATTTTTGGATTAAGGTCAAAGTTAGGGCACGGGAATGAGTACTTGTAGTGCGGAGAGTCCGACCACAGGTCACCTTGAATCATCCAGAATTAGGAACAATCATGATAAAATACGGTCCGATATTCCAGCTAATGCAAAACTCCTCTCTGCTTTAAATGGCTGGGAAGTTAGTGTGTTTGAAAGACAAACACAAATGAAGAAATATAGTAGCTGCGTATATGTGTTTCTGATCACCGCTTAGACTTCAGCAGTCAACTGACCCCTCGTCCGGAAGAGATTCTGGTTCTGGAAGACAATGCCGCCGGGAAGATACAAGGGTGCCAACCAGGCGACGAACCTCTACACTGCCTTCAATGACCTGACAACGACCAACGATACCGTTAACCGCGGCAGATCCCGGAGGATCATACTGAAATTCGTATGTCCGGAGCGCTTCACGCGAATGGTATTCCAACTGCACGACGGAATGATGACTCGCGTCACAGACAACGGGGTAGTGTCGGCAGCATTTGCAATGATCACTGGGATGGACCGTCTATGCTGATCATACCACAAAGGTGAACCACCTCCAACTTTGCCGCTTCCAAAGAATGTTAAAGCTGCGGTGGCAGGGCAAGATACCGGACACAAAGGTCCCGAAACGGACGGCAATTCCCGAAGTCCACGCTATATTGAAGCAAGTGAATTAAGTTGGAATGGCCACTTCGCGAGGAGGGATCTCCCTCACGAATCTACAAAAAATTCCAGAGATCTGGTAGACTTCATTTAGAATCAACTAGCTAAGAGGGGAGAAGTGAAAACTGGAACAACAATCTACGAAAACAACAGGATTGCCGCTAAAAAGTCAAAAGGATGGCTCGCAAGTCTCAAGCTCCACCGTCCCACAGCCCCAGCACTCCACCCCTTCCAACGTGCCCACGTTGTCAACGGGCATTTCACACAAGAGTCGGCCTCATCGGGCATCTTTGGGCACAACACAAAATAGCCCAACGACTTTGCCTACCGCCTCCGGGAGTGCCCCCCTCGTTACCCCCCCTACTCCAGTGCCCACGACGTCCACCATCGTTACCGGTAAAAAAAAACTCCCGGCGCCCCGTTGCTGTTACCTGTTACCCTACCATTACTGCCACAGTCTCCACATTGACGGTGACGACCACTATCATCACTCCGACTCCTAATCCAGATGTATCACCACCCAACACCAACTTCAATGAGAACTCGGTCCCAACCTGTCCCCATCGAGATCGGAATATGAGCGATAAAACCATTAGTTGGGCACAGTAAATAGGCTATCCGAGAAACGAAGATAGAAGTATCCCAACGGTTACAAAATAGTAAATAAGAACAAATTCGTCAACAGTTAAAAATGCACGTGCTAGTTTTTTGTCTCACTCAAAGTTGTGCCAAGTTATTTAACAAGCGTATTATAACTGATTAGAACGAAACGGACTTAAATGTCACTACAATACTCCCCTCCTAGGAAAACGGAGTTCAAAAAAATCACTGTTAATAGAAGAAAAAGGTGGGACTGTTAGTCATACTGTACAAGTTGGTAACGGTCGGGAAAACGGACATGACGACCGCTGCGCGAAAGGGAAGGAGTCTGTGGGATAAGGGAGGACGCAGGGTTATTGGGCGTAATTGGAGTCTGGGAAATAGCAAGTGGCAATGTGCCGAGTGGAGGTTGTTCGGTTGGGGAAGTTGGAAAAGGCTCGGCATAAGCCACCTTCAAGCGATCGACTGAGACCACGTCGGTGCGGCCTCCACGGTCAGTTGTAAAATGCTTGTCCGTTCGAGATAGTACTCAAGATTGGCCGTCATAGGGCTGTTGAAGTGGCCGACGAACGCTATCTATACGGACAAATACAAAAGAAAATGCTAGTAGTTTCGGGTCGATGTGCGACCTACTTGTTGGAAGATGTGGAGGAGTGGCTCGAAGATGAGTCATGGCATGGCACTTTTTTGCACATAATCGCTGGGGTTCATGTCGGCTGAGTTTTGAGAGTACCTGAAAAATCCCCTGGACTCCGTAGGGTAGTACCGTAGACAAGTTCGGCAGCGGAACACTCCAAGTCGGGCTTGAGTGCAGTGCGGATACCGAGCATGACCAGAGGCAGATGCTCGCTCCAATGGGAAGGGTTGTCATGATCTCGGAGCGAGGCTTTCAGTTGCCGATGGAAACGCTCGACTAAGCCGTTGGATGAGGAGTGGTATGCTGTCGTGCGTATGCGAGAACACCCGAGGAGGTCGGTAAGGCTGTTAAAAAGTCTAGAATCGAATTGTTGGCCTCGGTCGGTGGTAATAGCTGAGGGGGCGCCATATTGGGAGATCCAGTGTTCCAAAAAGGCATGAGCAACGGAATCCGCAGTTATTTTAGGGATGGGAGTTGCAATGGTCCAACGAGTGAATCGGTCGATCGCAGTAAGTAAGTAGTTGCAACCACGCGATGTTGGAAAAGGACCTACCAGATCGATATGGACATGTGCAAGACGTGCGTCGGGTGCGAAAAAAGTGACAATGGGGACTTTGTTGTGCCGTCGGACTTTGACCTTCTGACAGGCCAGACGTGAACGGGTCCACTGGCGGATATCAGTGTTCATGCTTGGCCAAACCAAAAGCTCGCTGACGAGGCGCTGGGTAGTGCGAATGCCAGGGTGAGCCAGACTGTGCAACGCTGCAATAACATCTCGTCTCATCTCGCTTGGCACTACGGGTCGGGAGGTACCGCGCGATACGTCACACAAAATGGTACCGGGGGTCGTGGAAAGAGGAATGGCCTCGAGCTGAAGCCTAGTGCGTTGAAGGCTCTCAGTGAAAGTCGGCTGGTTTTGCAGTTTTGCCATGCGCTCCAAATCGATGGAAGGGCGGGTGATGGCATTCATGCCAGGTCGGGAAAGACAGTCAGCAACTTGATTAGAAAGGCCTTTAAGAAACCAAATATTGGTGGTATACTGAGAAATAAAATCGAGATGACGGGCCTCGCAAGGTGAATACTTGTCAGAAGAAGTAAAAATGGCATAAGAAAGAGGCATGTGGTCAGTATGAATACAAAAATCTCGGCCCTCAATATAATTACGAAAATTCATAATGGTTAAATAAAGTGCAAGCGTTAGCGAATTCATACCTTTTTATTCCACATTTGTCTCGTTTATAGTACTGTTCATTTATAGCAATCTGCGCACAAGCATGAGGCTTTGACATGTGAAGCTCAGAAACGTAGAAAATCATCAGGATTTCAAGAAATGTCGTATTTTACCCACAGTTGGCTTATTTTTCTCTCAAAAACAGATTTGAAGTGGATTTTTCTCGAGTAGCTAGCTTTCCGCAATTTACCAGGCACAAATATCAGTATAAAGTTCATGACATATTACCCACTGACATTTAAACCATGACATTGCATGTGTTAGACCATCTACTGTAGATATGAGAGCTTACACCTTAGACCAACACTCCTTGTCTTAAGTTCGGTTGAGCAAACGTTTTTCCACAAAGAAGAAAGCGGAAAAACAAGAAATATTTGTTAGTTCTAATGCGCCTGCATTAAAACAGCGATTGCTAACACCACCCAGTACATTTTATGACTGGTACTCGCACAGGCTCCTGTTCAGTTTGCACTTTAACTGGGCATGAACAATCAAAACGGCGGCAGTACCAATAATTCAGTTGCTGAATAAATTTAATACACATTTTCTACTCAGTTACCTTAGTACTTGTGGAAAACCCGGCGATCAAACCAATTTTCCACTATTCACAATGGCGATGACTGCCTTTTGAGGAGTATCTGTGCTAATCATACCTTAAACCGTTAGTTTTTGATCCACCTTCGTTCGGCTTTTGATGCTGATCAATGTATTTTCTAACTAAATGACCAGTCGCACATAAATAAAAAACGGATCTGCAACTGACTTCCATAACAAAGGCAGTGCTGCTGTCGGCGGCGGCTCGAAATGATGGTGTGACATTTTACTCAACACATGGCATCTTTTGTGGAAGTACGAGTATCGACAGGAACACGTGAAAATAGGATGGCCTTTTCGGGGTTATTCGCCCTCGTCAACCAGCCTTTCTGGCCTTAATTTTACCGGACATGAGACATGAATCCGCATTCTGTAGTCATAATGCGTTAGTAAGTCGAACTCTATGTTACTTAACTACGCTCCCGTTGTCCTATCGACTGCGATCAGGTATATTAACTGTCGCGGGGAGGGACGTTCACCGATCGGTTTACGAGACGTACTCGTGTCGTTGCGCCTTTAGGCTCAGTGTAGACCCCCGGCGGCATGTGACTTTGGCTGGTTGGTGTTACTGCTTTGACATTTTGTAAACACACTCGCAGTGCGGGGGGTTTTGAGTGCCTCAGCAGCCTAAAGCCTTTGTCTGTGTGCGCCTTTTCGTCAAGTGCTTTAATGCTGCTGTCTTTGCTTAGTGACCACACATCCGAGAGTTGCTACCATAGGAACATGTCATGGGAGATTACTCGACAAACTTAATCGTGCAAACAATGTACCCAGCAAAGTGCAAATCCGCTGCCAAATCATAGTAATTGGTCTTGTCACTCAGTCATGTTTTTATGCTTAAATTAAAGGAAGCTGTTTAATACAGTGTCCACTAGACCCGCTCGATCTTGTCAGACTGCTCGTAGCGGCTAGTGATATGCGTCACCAAACCTCACTAAATCTCGATGGCTACTTAAGTACCAACCTATGTAAATAGTCCGCTTGTCACAAAATGGTAAGGTTGCAAAGGTAAATCATTGCTAAATAATGGTTAGGGATAATATTTATTTATTTATACTATTTATTTTCCCTGTTTCTAACTCAACGATAAATCGGCTTTATAAGGTGCTTAAGTTGCTGTCAGTGACTTCAATATTTTGCTGATTTCATTGTTGCTGTCCTTGTTCAATAAAAGCCGACGTCAAATTAGGCATAAGCTCCTTTCCATACTTAGTACGAAGAGTCAGCGAAAGGCTGCTGCGTTATAATCTTATAAGAAATTGGGCTGTTGCCAAAAAGGTACCCTACAGCTTGCTAACTTTTAACTGCCTCTCCTATGGAGGGTTTGGTTGATTGTGCCCCATTCCGTCCTTCGCTTGGATGGTCTGATCTACGGGTGCATGAACTGTGCAGCTGGTTTTTTCGGTATCACCTTACTAGCTCCTGGTATGTGGCTGACCAATTTGAGACTTTTACTTTGACCCCTCCATAAACGACTACACATCCGATCATCACGTGTGTTTACTCCTCAGATTTCCAAATCAGAGGCGGCTGTCTACATCCCATTACTACGTGTGTCTGAATAACACGTGGTTTTGAAGGCCATTTACACCGCGCACGCGCATTGATTTGACAGCAAGTCGCATCGTGTTCTTACCCACCTACACTACACCACATTGTGCGTCAGTTCGAGTTCATGGGACGGTGAGTCGCAGTGCAAGTTCCAGCATGTCGCCAGTTTTTGCGCCAATCAGTGAGCTCGAGGCGAATCCAGCAACAGCAAAGTGTATTAATCAAAACGCAGTGAGCGGACCACCCTTTGAGAGAGCTGACAGTTATGCAATATTACTGCACCGGGGCAGAAAATGGCTAATGAGTACTTTGCCTTTAAGACGATATACTGTGGCTTCATTAGCACCCGACACGAACCATCAAATCAGAACGGCGTTCATGACTACTTGGTCCAACGCGTTCGGTCCAAACCGAAGGCTCCAGCCCTGGTTGAGGGTGATCTGACCAAATTTACAATCACGACCAAGAGAATGCGCATCATCCCGGCGAATTTAATAACCGGCTACATCGCATTGGACAATACCATGAACTCTGTAGCAGTTCTCATGGCTGACTATAACTTCCACCCTCCAGGATACCGCATGTTCGCATTTGAGTCAGTTGCCCAACAGGACGCCTTTGTTGCCTATTTGGACAAAATTCTGGACCAAACACTTGCCTTCTTGCGAAGTCAACCAGATGTGGTGCATGAGACTATCACTATGGAGAAACTGCGGATCGATGAGACCAACCGACAGCAAAGCAACATGCGGCAGGAGGAAGAACCAAATGGAATAATTGGTGAGCTTCCGAGGGTTCGTCCCAGGTTGACCCTCTATAATCCAAGACATAAGCGCAACTCTCGACTCAGTATAGCCTCCAGCGTGTCGCAAATTGAACTCTGTAACACGAGGGACCGACCACCAAGACGGGAATACTATTATTATCGACCCCTCTGAGCTAACAGTTGGCGCTTCAATCAACCCAGAAATGTACATTGACTTGCAAACGTTCCATCCGTGTAGGTTTCTATTCCCACAGCAGTGTGGTCAAACCTAAAACGCTGTGGTCAATGGACATCACCAGAAGCATTATTTTCAGTTCATGGGAATAAGGGATAAAACAAGGGTAACCCTGCTCAACTGCCTGTTATACAAATTAATATGTGACATTATTATTACTTATTCAACTGAGACAACATGAGAACTGAAATTAACGGTTTGTTTTTCTGTTTACGTCTGGGTAGGAAAGCATTGGCTTGTAGTAAGGAGATGTTTATTTAAGGTATCGGAACGTGTTTTTAACCAAGTGTACACAAGCGTGTCTGTGTCAAAAGATTAATAGGGTCTGACAGATGAAACCTAGTGTCTTTATCGCTTATCATGAATAGTCTCTGATTTATTAGTTTTTATGATTATTTTCCATCAACTTGTTTAAAACGTCCGGATTTATTTGAAGTCAGTGGTAGTTCTGCAGAGTCGATTTTGTATAAATCGGTTTCAAGAAACATTTCCAATTTCCGAATAATTTTGAACCCGACCTACTGTTAGACTTGCATTCAGGGTTTCCAAACTACAAGCCGTATATTTTTCGCGTATGGAAAACCATACATTTATCTACGGCATTAAAAGGAGATCATATGGGATTCATAAAATTTAGCCGTGGATTTGAGCCATATTGTTAAGTTAACAAGCCACATTGGGAAATCCAGAGCCACGACGTTTTATAAACGGCATTTCACGGTATTAAAAAATCTTACTATTAGAAACTTTTTTAAACCGAATTATATCCTTCCTCAGAGTAGAAACTTGGAAGAAGACGTAATTTCCTGCCGAATGAGCAAAATAATGAATGTATAAATGACTCTTTCCATAAAATATTACTGAATCTTCAAGGTCATCGAAAATCAATGATAAAACTGCATGCTACCCAAGTAGTCCTTTTTTAAAGAAGATAGTTTTCATGCAGTTGGAAAGACGTTCGTTCGAAGGTCGGCATCTAGAGGTAACTGAATTATTATACAATTATTCTCCATGAAGATTAGTTTTACAACACTACTTTGTTATTCTTTTCGAAACAAAAAGACATTTCGGAATGTTGGTCGACATTTCATGAGTTAGCCCACCTACTGTATATATAAATACGTGCGCGCCTATTCCAAATTTCACTTCCTAGGTTGCCTGATTTCCAACATATACCTATGTATTGTAATATGCGCATCCAAGGAAAGAAAATTTGAGAAAAATCCGTCTTTCGTGAAATTTAGCAATCTTTATTTCATAAATTTTCGTCTCCCATCCCACAGACCGTCGTCAGACGTGCAGTAAATGTAAAAAACAGTTACTTTTTAAAAACGCCTTAAAAATTGATAGTCTTGTCGTTTCTGCCAGTAAGTTGATTCTGTAGGATGACATAATGTTTTGATTTGCCATTGCCTTCTTCGTTTTCCATTGGGATTTATGCTTGCACACCTTAGGGAGAAAGTTGACTACCTCGATAGAAACGGTGCTGCCTATGACATCCCATACGTCATTTCTGACACCACCTTTTGTGGAAAACTGGGAAGTCTGTCTCAGCCCGTGTAAAAAAAACATCGGTCAGTAGTAAAGTGACAAGAAAATCTATCCCAGGTGGACAATGGGCACGAATTTGCCTGGGAAAACACTCACATTGTTGGCGCCCTCCCAAAAAGAAAACATCATGAATTTCTGGGAACAGTGCAGTGAAATGAGGCATGTATCAGTTGGCATATGGATACAGATGGCACAAAGAGATTTCTCAGAGTCAAATTTCGGCATGCACAGTCAATGCCGAAGTGGTGATTAGATGCAACAAACGTGTACGGGCGCTGACAGCAGCCAACGGTATAATCCTTGTTTAGCCAAGAGTAATTAGTTAAGATAGTGGGTAGTTATGTAGTGGCTATCATTGAAAATCTTCACAAGGGCAGTCATATTTTTCGCAAACAACGTCATCGTTTTCTAATATGTGTATTTGTTGTCTAAATCTTCGACTCCAATTCCCAAGGTCATACTCAGACGCAAAAGGGGAGTAAGTGTGTCAGAAAATTAACATTTTCCGCGCGGTTACAAAATCGACACTTGTTTGACATTTGCACCTGTACGCAGCCACCGTGCCTGTCTGTCTGTTCTAATTACCTTTCGTCTCTTCCGTACATCCCAAATATTTCCGTACGCGGTATCTAATTCGATATGTCGTTTAATGCGTGACTCATCTAAGTATACGACCTGGAGGAATTCTCAGTAGTTTTTAATAGCGCAGACAATGAAAGTGTGAGATTTTCCCCAAGCGAAGGTTTGCGCTTTGTCCAGGGTATGCATGGCTGTTCGGGACAGATGGTCTAACCTGTTTACTCCAAATTGGCGCTCGTGAATGCGTACAGATGGGGATTTTTCAGTTCAACCACAGTAGATGATATCACATGGGATCTTGTAGAGTACGCCTTTTTTCTCGACATTGCTAGCCCTATTAATAGGGTATTAAATCTCAGTGCATAAATTAATCGTCGGTTTGTGCGCCACCTGAATTTGACGCTCCCCTAGGTCTCTTTTAACTCGTTCAAACATATTTTAATGTAAGAATGCCGTCCGCAGAGTATTTGGCAGGAGATTCTGATTGTACCCAACTGGTTCCTCTTCCTTTAACCCTTGCTGTCTAATGAATCAGCGCAAAAAAATTATGGGAACCTGTCCTGAAGAAAATAATCTACACAAGTCATTCAGTTATACTCTGTAATCTTCTTCGTCAGAACAATGTGTTTGTTGACAACACCGTGTTTATGAAAGATAGGTTGATCGCTCCCATGAGCTAGAATGATTTCCGCACAAGTTTCTTTGCGGTTCACCGATGTGCGTAGTGTTTCGTTAGTCGTTCTCTGTATGAGCGCATCCGGCAACAGGGATTTAATGTCCTATTCTTTTTTGAGCGTGAATTTAACTCCCAAATTCGTTGCGTTGATAGTGCTATGGATCGTTTCGTTCTGGTTATTTTAACGGCAACAAATGCGACGTTGGCATATCGCAGCCACAATTTACAGTTAACAAATGAGATATACGGGACCTGTAGTTTATGCTCTGTGAATTCTGTGAGAAAAGTACGGACGGGTGACTTCATAGGAGCTCCTTTCAGATGCTGGTGGCATTTTTGGTCGAATACCAAGTTGGTTTTCAAACATAGGTCTATGAGTTCAAGTACGGCGTTTGGAGGAATATCTATGTCGTAGGACTGAAGGATATCAACAGCGGAAGTTACGATTCCTTCTAATCTTTCTAATTTCACAATTTTTCGTAAGCGGGTAAAGCTTGCTGGATTGGCATTTGGAAATAGCACAGTTTTGTGACCGTCTAATGATGCTATCTGCGTCTGAGTATGACCTTGGGTATTGGAGTCGAATATCTAGAAAATCAAATTCCTTTTTTTAACATCATATTTGACTTTAGTTATACAACTTCGAATGCCAACATTCCACTGTATATGTTTATATTCATTGGGTAGACACGTACCCTAAAAATATTATTTTTATAACACGCAAGTTAGTTCCGAAAATTTGAAAGTTCGATTTTGTACAGTTTTTACGCTGGCTTGTCAGGCTGTCATCAAGAATACAGTAAATTTTGCAAAATCAGTCAAAATTTAAGTATGCGTGAAGTACATAAATTGCTCTGTCATTCCTACCAATGAGCCGCTGCTGGCGTCCGGCTTCTCTTCCGAATTGGCTGTAGCCTTTCCTAGTTTTACTTCAGATCATTGTATATGGCGTTTAATTTAATTTGCCACCTAATACACGAATCACCGCAGTGAGTGGCATTCAGGATTTTTTGACTACACACAAACGATGCCAGGTTTTGTACCATGTAAATTTTTAATTTCATCTTTTTCCTGGCAATTGGTGCTCATGTTCACATGCGTAGGCCGATGTCTGGGTTCACCACAGTATATTACATTTCAGTCATCTCATAAAGTATTGTAGTAAGAACTTTCCTTATCTGAATAGCCAACCCTTTCCGTGGGGCATACAAGTGGGGTGCGCAGTTTAGTTATCAGTTTGTGCGCCACTTGTATCTGTTTCTTTTTGCGTATCTTTTAACGATTCCGAAGACATTCTTAAGGTAAACATTTATGTATACACATATATATATATCAAGTAAATCATTTCAGAAATTACTCAGTGTAGGATATCTAGTGAAATCTCTGGGACATGACTTTTTATGGAGAGAACCAAAATTTCAATGACTATATGAGTCAAAGACAATCAACTACTGTGGAATAACCACATAATGCCCATTCAACAAACTAGTTATCACAAATAGTACGAAATGTGTATATCGAACGTCTTATACCGTACTCCCGACATAGGTACATTGAAATTTCGGTTCTGACCCTAAAAACGTCATGTCCCGGAGACTTAATTGCATGTCCTGCGCTGAGTAATTTCTGAAATTATTCACTTGGTTATTCTCTGGAGTTCATATACTAGAAACCACAGAGGGAACGCTGGGGACCCACTGATGAACCGAAATCCTCGCAGCCGTGTCAAGCAGTGGCAGAATGTAGGCGAAACACGTGTCTGGGGTTTTATTTAATATCTGTGTTGGGAATAGGGTTTAGTAACTTTAGCACATATATAGGTATGAATTGAAAGATAGGCATCCCGATAAATATAATTTGAAGTCGAAGGCATTCTTTGGGAAAAGGAACATTGTTGCGTAAATTTTCGACTCCAGTTTCCCGGGTTGCCGTCGGACACAGACTGAGTACACATGTGCGGGCAGCAGTTAGCATCTGACAGTGCACTAGGAAATCGATACTTAATGGCGTTTGCGCCTGTGAGCGATCGCTACCTGTGTCATTATTTCTCGATTGGCTCTCCGATCATCCATTTCTCCTTGAGACTTTTGTACACGCCGTCCAATTCGATATGTTGATTAATGTACGATTA